TATTAAATATTTGCATATCTGTATCTGTATCTGTACCTGACCCAAAAATTTAATAGAATTCTATGTAAATAAACGTCACATTATTAAATTTCTTTGAATTAAATATCGATTGAGATTGCGTTAGACGGCATCTTGTATCGGCAATATTACTACACTTATGTATTCGGGAGTGTACCTTATGTAATCTATAATATTTTCCTTTTATGGTGATATTAATTGTTAACTTATAGTCCCAATTCAAAACAAATCCATCGTTTTTTAAATTTGTATAACAGTATTGCATTATGTTCGAAATTTGACATTTCTGACAAAATAATTAGATATTACCGTTGCAATGTCTTATCATTGTGGTACATTTTAGATAATTTACGGTGAAAAATAGTGATTATATACTCCACTTTCGACAATTTATATCATCTGCTCATTTAATTAAGAAATAAAACAATATCTGTCATCGTCATTGTATCTTCCCTCATGTGTTCGTCTTTTTCGATTTTTTCATTTTTTCATTTGACATTTGTTACCAGTGTTAGGAATAGATCATACAAAATTTATCTAGATAAAGGTAAAAGATAATAACATTTTTATATAGATAAAAAAAAAAGACATTTTCAAAAAATGTTATTTTTTGGTCAATATTTCATATTCTAATAATATCTATGAAGAGTCAATTATAAACTTTATTATTAATAGGTACCTAGGTTTTAATGTTTATTGTAGTAATATAGTGTACCATTAAGTAGTATTTATATATAATGTACAATATGATATGATAGTTAATCACTAAAATGTTACATAAAAAAAAAAAAAAAAAATGAAAATTGTTCTGTATGTATTTGAATGAATACAGAATACATAAAAAAATATTTTAAGTTCACAATATTTTTTTCTATATAATATTAATGTGCTGATTTTTCAGTATTCTATAAGTAGTTACGACTTTACGGGTACCAAGAGTGAAGTAACGATTATTCAGCATATGAGTTACATGTGTATACTAAAATCAAATACCTACTATATTTGAAACTTCCGTGAAAAAATAAGAAATTAAATTTAAAAATACCAAAAATATTTTCCCGATTTGAAATTACAAACAAAATATCATACCAAGAAATAATAATTACTTATTAATAATACACGAATTATGATTATGAATACAAAATCTATATGTATAAAAGAAAGTCAGGTTATTTACAGAATTTATAATTCAAAAACGGTTGGACCGATTTTGATGATCTCTGATTTGTTGGATTCGTCTCCGTACAAGAATAAAAATAACTCTAATCTTGGAAAGAATACAGATAATTATCTAGATAAGTAAAAATTTTATCTCAGATAAGTAATTAGATAACTTAGCGTTATTTATCAAGATAAGATAAAATATGACAAAAAATCTATCTAGATAATTTATCTAGAAAAGTCCCAACACTGTTTGTTACACGGAACTCGATTTACAGAAAAATCAGTACTCATTTTATACACTAAACTTTATCAGAAATTAATTGGAACGAAACATCAGACCTATTAACTGTTCACAATTTTCTCAAAATACAAACATTTATTAAATAAGAAAATAGATAAAAAATATATAGGTTTCATAAATTTAAATGTTATTATTTTACGTGATCTAATAATAAAATGTTCTAACCGTGTGAAATGTATACAATAATAATAAATTAGTTATATTATGTATGTTAATTTCAGGAGGTGAATTATGATAAAAAAATAAGTTGGAAGTATTCAATGATGTACAATTATTTGATAATAACTTCATCAGTTGAGCCCAGATTTATGTGATTTTGCATATTTTTTTCCTTTTAAATTATTTAAATTTTTATTAGTAATCTTGACGAATCATACTGATTGAAATTCATCACTAATATTGCATATTCTGGCATATTTAACCTAAATGCATATTTCAATGAATACGCAGTTACGAAAAAAATTTCGGTTAGTAGACGCAAAAGTAGTAACAAAGCTCCTATTTATCTTAATTTTAAATATGTATTATCTCGAAAATATTTACATTAAAAATCAAAATCCTATTAAAAGAAATATCTCACCGGTAATAATCTAATCGTTGTCGTCATAGTTTATGTAATTATACGATTAGTGTTATAATATAACCTACAAGTTTTGAAATAAAATTTTAGTAAACTGATCTCTAATTACAATCGTGCTGGAAATAGATACTGACTTCATTTAGTTTTACAAATACAATATTACCAATTATTACTATTACAATTTTTACTAATTTTAAAAAAAAAGGTATAAACGTCAAAAGTTAGTAGTTATTTTAATTCTAAAACGCGTGATTAGATTTTCTATGTAAACAAAAACGCAATCATTTTTACATCAGACGGTAAAAATATAATTATAACAGCACCTAGCAGAATTTCTATTTTTAGAAATAAAATGTAAAATATGCCATCTGTTATTACCTTCTGTTCCAACTATAAAAAGCGATGGATGTGGGTAGTCGATTTTATAAAATAACAAAATGTAACTGAATGAGAGAATACTTGCATAAGATGATGCTCAATATGTTAAAAACTACCTACTTATTAAATATAGATCGATTGTGAAAGAATCAAAATTGATAACAATTAATTTGTAATTTTGTTGTTTATATTTTTGTAGATATTGAGCTATCGTAGTTTTAATATTAACAGTTAAAAATAAAAAAGCACATATAATATGTTAATCTATAAAATGGATATATGTTAATTTTTTCATTTTTAATACAGCCTACATAAAGGCATAGAATATTATTGACACTCAAAGTTTATTACTTGGAAGGATTACATTCAGAATGGATCACTTGGGAGCAAGCTTTCTCTTAAAGTCTAAAAGCTATCAATCATGCAATCATGGTTTTAAAAAAAAAAAAAAATTTTTTGAGTGTAACTTATAGTTGTATATTACATGAACATAAATATAACAGATTTTATTGCAAAACAATGAGATTTTTTTAGGCTCAATACATTATACCTACTTGTGTTTTGGATTTATGATCGACCATATACGTGACTTCAGTAGAATATTTTAGTGCTGTAAAATATGATTTTCTAAAACGAATAAAAATATATCTGTAGGTTACATAATGTATTAAGAATCCATATTGTTGCTGTTAGCTATTATTTTATCATTTTTATACGCATAAGCTATAGTTGTATACATTCGTGTACAACTTGTGCAGTCATTACCACGCTGTTCGGGTTTATCAAATCATACTCGTAATATTTGTCATTTATTGAAACTGTCGAATTCAACAATTCACACCGCAACCGATTATGTATTTCTTTATGCATTTCATCGAGTCGTAACGTACCACCCCGAGTTCTACGACAATCATTGTCGAACCACGTCACCAAAATATTGGCACAAGTTATTGTTTGGTTACACATCGGTATGAATTGAGAAACATCAATCTAAAACCACTCATCGTTTGTCGGCTATAAACACACCGTTCACGTATTCATTATAAAATAGTCTGGTTGAGTGCGGCAGCGTGTTCGATCCGGGTGACGTCATTCCACCGGCGGACACGAGCGGAGATAATACCGTCAACGTCGTACGGTTATGCCACCGACGGATTTATTGCTCGCCCACGCGTTATCGCATCGGATAAATCGGCGATTTGGTTTGTTTTAATGGGACGCATGACGATCACCTCCGTCCATTGTTTGCTGGATGAGGTGAACGGAGTGTACAATTTAAATTCGGAATTTTAGAAAAACGATTAATGATCGACCGTACGTTTTCACTTAACAGAACCGTTGAAAGATTCGGAGACACCGTTGTGTACGGAATACTCGTCCGTGCGGTGATACGCGCGCACGCGTTCGTCCTACGCACGAGAAACAGAATTAACGCGTCTTGCTCTCGTAGTGTTCCCGTCAAGGACGAGGTGGTGGGATGTGAGGGTGCGCTGCGCCGGGGAAACCTTAGAGGCGATTGTGTCGGGGTCGGTCACGAGAGCCAATTTGCCGGGCCCGCACCGATACGGGTGTGTAACTGTCGCGCACATGTCGCGTGCTTTTTCCTTCTCTCCCACCACGGAGTATCTTTGCAGTACAGTCGGGGAGTGGGCTGCTACCGCGTGCCAGGATCTTTGCCGCGGGATACTAGACGACGAAACGCCAGAGTCGTATTTAAATTTACTTCTACGGGTGGGGAGGTGACTCAAATTTTTTCTTTAATTCAGGCTCAAAATGTACAAATAACATTTTTGATAGTATTAAAATCAGGTGAACCCTTAATATTTGTAATTTTTTTTAATCTTATATCGGATCCACTTAGAATGGACTTTTGTGTAGTTATTTTTTAACATCTGTCTGTGTTTAGAAAGTTACGCTTGTGTTTTATTTGATTTTTCACCAAATATGGACCCGACAAAAAGCCCAATTCAGTATTCACAACCAAGAGTAATTTGATTTTGTTATAAAATGATCCACATTAAAAACAATTGATATATGTATCTCACATATAATCGATTTCTTAAATACAGATTCAAGAGGGGGGATGATCGCCTCTTCGCCACCCTAAAATATGCCCCGACGAAAAGCATGGTATCGCGACTTGGACGGAAACGCGAAAATTCGCGTTCACGCTTTTGGGCCGCTGTCGAATAATCGTAGCTGCTGCGATGACGAATAGGCCCTTGCGTATTCGGATCCCCGGCCCTGGATCCACGACCACCAACGTCACACCTCTGTTGCTGCTGGTGGCTGTGGCGGTGGAACAGCGGTCAAGACGGTCATCGGGAGATCGAGGAAAGACGTGCGAACGGGTATTCAAGGGTTTCGGTATCCGGTGCGGGGTGGAGGTGCGGTCGGGTGAACGGACGAAGAATTTCGGCCGGGGGTGCGTGGCGTCGCGTTTGCGTCCCCTACCCCCGCATCTCGGCCGCAGAATCCCGCCCGATCGCGCGCAGGGTACGATGAGATCGGCGACGGCCGCCTCTCTCAGGGCCGTTCGGCACGCGCGCGGAGAGAGCGTTAGAGAGCCAGTCGACCGGCGTCCTGCGCCGTGGGATATCGCGCGCGCGTCACGTGTCCGCTCGCCGCCCGCCACCACAGCCACCGGTGCCCACGGGTCTCGCGCGTGCCTCAGATACGCGTGTGTCACCATCGCCGCCACCGTGTTCGCAATCGTTTTGCGTCGCGTCCCCGTCGCACGGCTGTGTACCTACGTCTCCTGCAACCAACTCGACCAGCCCCAGCCGCAACCAGTCCGCGGCCGCAGTCGCGCCCGATACAACACGCACTCGTCACCGTCATCCCGAGTACACCCAGGTAATTGTCATCGTTCTACGTAGGATTGGTGGGCTCGTGAGCGAAAAAAAATACGAACAATTTAAACGGTCCGGGGATGAAAAATAGTACGAAAACAATACTAACAATTTTTCCGAACGCACGCTTACTGGTAGGTTGAAAACGCGTTACGTACATGTTAGGTTAGCCGTTGGGGGTGATCGCGACGGACCGACCGGAATGATAGGCCAATCGACACTTCGGGTTCGGTTTATAATGAATTATGTATACGTTTACCGTGGTCGTAACGGGATAGTTTTTTTTCTTTCCTTTTTTTTTCAGCCGGTCTGGCGTCCGTCCAGTGGTCTGCAATTTACTTTTCGCCCTCTGAATTCCGATGTACACACGGTTTCGATAAATTACTAGTTTTACGCAGCAGACTTATATTAAATCCGTACACGAACAGCACCATCGTGATTGGTTTACCCTCACGACGGTGACCGCGGGACAGTTCACCTCGTTGTGTTCTCGGTGCATGGCCGGTAAAAGACACTAGCCGAGTGTCCGTAAGCGTATACACTTTCTCCGGTCATGTGGCTTTGGTCCAATCTACTCGCTTCCGGAAACCGTTTCTAAGGACGAGGGATGGTAGGGAGGCATGAAAATCATAAGGTCTCTACAGCGTTTGGCGGAGTATATCCGCAGAGCAGAGCATACAGCAAGACCGCGAACTAAGTAGACCGAAAACATTACTTACGACATCGTAAGGCGACGAATACTTTTATTATTTTTTTATTTTATATTTATTTTTTACTTTTTTTCATTGCTTCAACAACCGTAATGATGCAGTTTGGCAAACCTTCGAGATGAAACGTGATGTCCAGTGTGCTTACCGACGGGTTATGTATTCATAAATATATATATCAGAGATATTCATTGCAGCTTGCGTGCCGCAAACCGTTCAAAAGCCAAATTCTCTCATGCTATTTACCTCGCGATTTCACTATTCCAAAAGACCTTGGTGACGCAATATTGCTGTATGTTGCAGTATGTGCTGGTTTTGTTTAGACTTCCTCGCTGTCGATTGTTTAAAACACGCGCGAAGGAATACGAATATAAGATTATGCTTTTGAAATCGAATGTACCGTTCGAACAAATTCGGTTCCATGAGAAAAAAAAAGGTGAAATTCAATCAAACTCGCGTGCATTGTTTATACTGAGTTTTGCCGCATTACTGTATACATTATTATTACCGTATCGTTTTTAATGTACGATAAGTAATTGATGGTGCACAACATTTGATGAAATCGAATTGCATCGACTGTTTTTCTAACCTATGTAATTTCAAAATTGAAAAAAAAATCTTGATCTACGACATGAGAACACATAATATTTCTTAAATATATCCATGTTGGCAGAAAACATAATTTATCCGAGGCTCATAGTTATATTTTAAAAGTTACATTAATTTAATCTAAGAACAAAATACAAAATGATATTATTTCACAAATTGAGCATAATATATATATACACACTTAATCTGTACTTAGCGTGTACTTCTTCATAAGTTTTCAAACTTATACCGTAAAAATTTAGTTTGAAGTATCTAATGCTTTTTGTAACCCACGAAATTTATTAGATTATAAAAACAACACAAAATAGGTAGGTACTGCGATTTCAACGTTTTAGAAAGTAGAATAAATTTAATAAAGTTTTTTTAAAGTTATCGTGATACAAACTGTGTGTGATAAGTTTAGAAAATCTGAAATATTCATATTATTGTATTACTCGATAACCTCAATTTATTAAATGTGTTTTTGATTTTGATTATAATTTGTAATTTATTTAATTATACTATAAATATAAAATTTTACATACGTATCTAATAGCGTATTTTAGAATATGAAAAATACCATACGAAAATATTTAATAATTACAATACATTTGAAATAATTATATTATGTGATAAATATTTCTTTACGCATTATAAATATTCAACGGTATTTGCAATGCTATTTACGACGGTATACATATTCAACTATTTTATTTACATTAAAAATCTACATAGTTCTCTGTTAATTATCCTGTGAACGAGATATATGATTAATATATATTAAAATATGTTCTTTATTCAAATATTTTTTTTTTTATAGTAAATATTTCAAAATGATTTTGTGTGGCACTACTGAAAGAAAAAATCATTTGCCAACTATCAAACAAAACGGCTCAGGAGATGCATAATGAGTCACTGAATTTATGGTTATTTTAGATTTGACTTGGTAACCTAAATATTAAAGGTAGTTATCCAGTAAATTAATACATATTTTCTTCTTTTTATTAATTATTAGTTGTTTTCTATTAGATCCAATGTTTTTGACATATTCTTTTGTTTTTGATACTTTTATCATTCTTATATTGTAAATTTAAGTAGAGGATAATGTTCATTGTAATTTAGTTATGTTATGTTAGTTAGATTTTTTTTTCTTTCGTGATTAAAGTTTCATACACTAGCATTATTATATTATATTATTGTTTTAACCTTATATATTTCTTATAATATCTATTATAAATCAAATACTTGAATGCTAAAAGAATAAATACCAGAAACTGTGATTCATTTTTTTTTTTAATTTGTATTCTATCAGCTTCTTGTACATCTTTAGTCAATAAATTTCGTAACATATTTATATTTTTTTAATTTTTTTTATATTTTTATCTATCAACTAGATTTATCTTAATTCTAACAGTGTAAGTATTTTACACTTATCAGAATACGGTTCATATCTAGCGTATTATTTATCATAATGAACAGTTAAGTCTGCTGGCTACCATCATGTATATTTATTGATAATTTATGTTAACCGTAGCAATGTATGAATCACTCCTAGGAGTAACCTAAATAAACAAACTGAACATGCTGGATCCGGAAACTCTGTACACAGTCAAGCTTATAAAAAGACTTATATTATAAAGGACGAGGCTTAGTTAATTTATATATATATAAATCCCTACAGGCTATATTATTTTTCATAAACTAATCTGTAAATTTACTATGATTATAATAAATAAAAAGACATTTAAAAATATTTTGACTAGAAGTCAAGCATATAATATTGTATATAAAAAAATATTCTTAAGAATATATTGATCAAATGATAATATAAATAAAACAATTTAAATAATCTCTGTTGAGTATGTTGAGTATCTCTATTGTTATCTGAAAAATAATTAGATTTAATTATTTTAGAATTTTTTTTTTCAGATAATTAATTCAATTGAGTTACATAAAAATTAAAATTATTTGTTTATTTTAAGATCATTTGAAACCGGATCACTACATTTTTTTATTAAAGCTACAAAAATACGCTATTAATTATAACTATTATACCTACATCAGTATTATAATATGAATATTATGTTGAATATAAATATATGTTGCTTTATATGACCGACACAAATTTCTTTTACATTGTATAAATATTGTATAACAAACCAAACATTTTTTTCAAATAACTTATATTGAATTTTTCGGAGGTATAGATTTGATTAATCTTCTTTAGGCATTTGTTGGTTACAAGTTTATATAACATAACAAGCTATTTTATTAGGGAAATAATTATAATGACTAGCTTATTATTTATTATTTGATTAGACGACAACAATAAAACATCTTATGAATATATGAGCCAAGTCCATTGAATTTGTAATTAATGCACAATTTAAATGATATATTAAAGTATGTTTTAGTATAAATCTAAATAATAAATTGATTTTTGACACTAGGTAGATATTTATTACGAATATTTAAATAAGATTTTCAATAATTATATTATCTTATAATTAAAAAAAATTAAATTTCTATAAAATATTTTTATACTGAGGAATTAAGGAATGATATAAGAATATACAACTAAATCTGTGCCTTGTTTACATATTATAACTGAAAATTATAATCATAATTATAATTCTTTACAAATTAAGTTTGTTAAATAATAATTTAATTAAGTACCTGTTATTTTGATTTTAAATGTTTTATTTATAAATTATTATTATTTGTTCCTAAATAATAATTTAATTAATTAATGCACATTTTAATTATAGTTTTTTACATAAAAGTTTTTTTGATTGTGAATTTTATTCTAAGACTCATTTAATTCATCATCGTTGATTTGGTAATCTGAAAATCCTGCCAACCAGCTTATACAAATATATATCATTTTAATTTCAAATAATTATATATGTTTTTTAGACTGCATCCGAATTGCGTGCCAAAAAAAAAAAGCGATGTTGGTTGACAATCGAATTGCGTGCGCGTATTTTTTGTAATAGGTTCGAATTGCGTGCGCGTATTTTTCGTGGCACATTCGAATTGCACGCGTACAAGTTTGAATAGACGACCATTTACACCACGTATAATATACGCTGATTTCGAACAAGCTATTCACTTGGCAATTTCAGAGATTTTTCCCGAAGTAGTTCGTAAAGGCTGTCGCTTTCACTTGGGCCAGACTATGTGGAGAAAAATTCAATCACTTGGCCTAAGTAAAAACTTTTAAAAAAAATCAGAAATCGGAAAATTTTTAAAAGTATGCTTTGGATTATCCTTTTTAGAACCTGAGGAAGTTCAAAAATGTTTTTTTGGAGATTTCATGACTATAAAACCAAACAATCAGCAATTAAATGCTTTTTGTGACTTTTTTGAAAAAAATTACATTTTACAAAGCAGTAAATTTCTACCATCAATACGTACGGAGTTTTCTAATAGTTTAATGCGTACTACTAATGCTTGTGAATCGTTTCATTCGAAACTCAATAGTATGTTCTACTCTTCGTATCCAAATATTTTTAAATTTTTAGAAGTTTTAAAAAATGTACAAACTGACGTTTACATCAAAATGCGTAGCTCAAATCAAACACAAACACGACGGGTGACAATGGAAAAAGAAAATTATATTCATGAAATTATGCGTCAGTATAAAGATCAAGTTATAACCCGTTTGGAGTTCGTAGAAATTTTGACATACAAAAATTTGCTAATTTAATTTTTAATTTTTATAACATTTTTATACTTATATTTTTAAATCATTTGTATATTTATTTGTTTACTAATATTTTTTGACTTTTTTTAATAATTTTTATATTATTTCAATGTATTGCAATGCACTTTTTATATATTTATAATTTTTTTAATCTATTATACTCTGAAAAGTTTTGAAACCTTTATATTTTGACGTTGTTTAACAATTGTTTATATTATTTTAATGTATTAACACAAAATGTATTATTTGTTCATTTATAATTTTTTTAGTCTATTAAGGTTGTTTAACAATTTTCTATTTAAATAAAAATGCGTAAAAATATAAACTTATATCAAAAATATGCATTTAAAATTGATAAATTAAAAATAAAAAACCGTGGCACGCAATTCGGTTGTGTCGCGAGAAAATCGCGCACGCAATTCATTCTAAATAATGATATTCGCACGCAATTCGGAAACACCGGTTTTTTACTGTCTTGCAAATCATTCATTAATAAACAATCGATTTATTGTTGAGTACCTTTATTAATAAGTAATATACAGTAAGCATATATATATATATATAGAGAGAGAGAGACGAGTTCATGAATTAATTTCTACTCGGTAATATAATTATGTATACACGAGTGTATATATATATATATATATCCTTATTACTTTTAAAACTACTTAATTAAAAGATATTATGAATAAAATACAATGTAATTTAGTAAGTATTTTTGATTAAAAAAACTACGCTACGTTCAATTTATAATAATGAAAAATAAATATAATATAAATGTAATATTTATAATTACTGTGTCAGTTTTATACCTTAACACGTGTATACAATATATCGAACTACCCTATATATTTTTTTATATAAAATAATAATCTAAAGTCAGTTCTGTGTCGTCTGCCGTCGAACACGCACGTTCACTACGTCACGCGCTCAATTATTATCAGTTTATTATTTAATTATTTTCACGTGTTTTGCACGATAATACGTAAACCCGTCTGTCATGTCCCGTGCTACTACACTGAAGTCGACCAAACGGAATTTTTCGTCCTCCTCTTCATCAAATCTCAATTCAAGTCTAAAGAAAATTAAATCTTATGTGTCGTCAAATCGGTTCGCTCCCCTCACCATGGCTGATAACCTCCCCGAGGTTTTTAACCCCCCTCCCGTCACAGTCTCACCTTTGGCTCAACATGAACCTAGTACTCTACTATCGAAACAACTTGGTGATGAAAAATTCGAGGTTACGAGCATGTCTGCACCGCCAATTGTCATAAGTAATGTTACTAACTACTCCTCGTTAAAAGCAGATCTAATATCTTTAGTGGGTACCGATGGCTTTACAGCTACCGCCAAGGGTTCCTCTTAGAGCTCTTAATACACGTGAATTCACGGAATTCACGTGTCACGTGTCACGTGTAAAATCCAAAATAAAAACGTATATCCTTAACTTAATACTGTACTATTTATATTTTATTAAAACTTCAAGTGTATAACATAAAATTACTAATTTTACCATTGTAAAAATGGATATATATTTTGGATAAACATGTATTTCACGTGTATACGTGAATTCCGTGACACGGGTTTTAAGAGCTCTAGTTCCTCTCTTATTATCAAACCTCATAATTTTGATGGTTACAATAAACTAGTCGATTACTGCAACGAATCGGATTTAGAATGCCATACGTGGGTACCCCGTCATATCCGCCCTTTCAAAGTGTTTATCCGTAATCTGCATTATACTATTCCTGTTGAATATATAGAGAAAGCCCTCCGGGATTTGGGCTTCTCAATCATAAGTGTACTAAACGTCCGCCACAGAATTAGTAAACAAGCTCTATCTCTATTCACCGTTGTCCTAGAAGCAAGGGATTTTAACCGGAGTATCTTCCAAATATCCTCTCTCCTTAACTCCAAAATAGTTGTCGAAAATCCGCATCAATCCCGTTACCCTCCTCAATGCAAACAATGTCAGCGATACGGTCATACTCGCTCCTACTGTAGCGAATCACTACGTTGTGTAAAATGCGGCAACAACCATTTCACCAAGGACTGTGTCAAATCTTCGGAACTACCTGCAAAGTGTGCGTTATGCTCTGGCGCACATACCGCGAACTTTAAAGGTTGTCCTTCATCAAAGAAATTTATAAACACTTATCGTAAGAATCATAAGAATGGTCACCTCAAGACCACACCACCTGTACCACCATTAGTACCATCAATGATGATCTTATCAGTCACAATGGAGTCCCTGTCCA